AGTGAGGGACGGTGCGATATATATAATATAGGTAGGTAATATATATAATAAGGCAATCATTATGATTGACGCGTGACGTATAAGAAACTCATAGGAAATTTTTGTTAGCCCTGAAAAGGGCTTTTTAGCATTGCGGTCGCTCGCGCATATTCGTATACGACGCGACACGCGTACACCATTTATTTTATAGGTATTATTTTTAAGAATAAAATAAAAATAAATAGGCCCGATGCCGCGGCGCTACGAGGCACTCGCGTTCACCCGCGAGGATCCTTCTCCCGTCCCGTCCGTCCCGTCTTGCTGTCACTCTGCCTGCCTGCTTGCCTTCCTTCCTACCTACCTACCTACCTACCTACCTACCTACCTACCTACCTGTCTCTCAGCAGCATCAGCCTGCATGCACTACACAATCACATACGCGCGTGACAATTACGCGTACGAGTACGTACGTAGGTAGGTACGGCGGCGGTGGTTATGACGACGGAAGGCGGTGACAGCGGACCTTACTTTTTAGAAGCGGCTGCCTTCTTCGATGCCGCCGCGGAAGGCTTCGATTTGGGTGTTGCCGCCTTCTTCGGTTTTGGAGCCTTAGGTTTCTTTGTCGGTGGTTTGGCGCTCTTTTTCGCCTTCGAAGCGGCGCCTTTCGCCTTAGAAACGCCGCTTTGGCCAGCGGTTGCGGATTTTCTTGCGGCTGCCGGCTTCTTTTTCGCGGCGGCCGCCTTCTTGTCCTTGGTAGCTGCAGACGGTTTTGCCTTAGACGGTGATGATGCGGTCGCTGCCGATGCTGCCTTTTTACCCTTACCCGCGGCGGTGCTCTTCTTCACCTTCGCCGACACCGAGCTAGCGGCGGACGCGCCGCTCTTTGCGCCACCGCTGCTCTTACCCGTCGACGGTTTCTTAGAGGCGGACGATTTTGATTCAAGCTTAAAGGAACCGGAAGCCCCCTTGCCCTTTGTCTGTATAAGCGCACCCGATTCGACTGCGCTCTTCAGGTACTTTCTGATGAACGGAGCTAGTTTTTCAGCGTCGACTTTATATTGAGCGGCAATATATTTTTTTATCGCTTGCAAAGATGATCCACTGCGCTCTTTCAGCTCTTTAATTGCGCTGGTGACCATTTCGGAAGTCTTCGGATGAGTGGGTTTCGCCTTGGGCTTCTTTGCACCACCTGCTGCAGTAGCGGCGGCCTTCGGTTTTTTCGCCGGAGTCGCCGGAGCGGGAGTTTCGGAAGCTACTGCTGTATTTGCCATTACTTCGTAGTAGTAGTAGTATTAGATCACAAACGAACTACAAACACTGACTCACACAACTCGCGATAGATGATAATAACAAAGGAAAATTGTAAATTTTTTTTTTTATTTTTTTATTTTTTTATTTATTTAGGAAGCCAACATGATATTGTACAATGAAAAAATGTTTGCAAATTTTATTGATTAATCTTAAGTTTAGTACATATCATACTTATAGGCTAACTTAACATGTTAAAGTAAAATAATAAGTAACGCACATTATTGTTGAAAAAAGAAGAAGAAAAGATAACAAAATAACATATTTTAATGCATGAAACAAAAAAAAAGGGTTTTTTTTTTTACAATAACTCATGAGGTGTTCTTAATTTTGTTATAAAAATGTTTTTTAATTTTATTTTTAAAAGTGGTATAAGAATCGTTGAATATGTCAAGGTAGACCAATTTAGAAATTACATTATAAGTTTTTAAGGTTCTATTAATTGGAGCTGATAATCCGACATTTGTTCTACAATACCTAGTTTTGAATAAACTATAATTTCTTATTCTAGAATTAGGTCTAGGAACAACATATGATATTTTACCTAAAATATTGTTTGAGTTAATTTTATTGTTAACGATTTTGTGTAACAAGCACATGTCCATAAGCGCTCTTCGATCATTTAATGAAATCATATTACAATTATGTAGTCTTTCAGTGTATGTTAATTGCCTGTGTATTTTATTATTATTGAAAAAAAGGTACTTAAGGAATTTCTTTTGCACTCGTTCTATCCTATTTATATGTGTTTGATAATATGGATTCCAGGCAGAAGAACAATATTCAAGATTACTAAGAATAAATGAGTTAAAAAGAATTATTTTGGTTTTTTTATTTTTTAAAGTTTTAGTTACCCGTTTAATTAATCCTAAAAATTTCAATGATTTTTTTATAACTTGATCCATATGCGTAGTGAAACTTAATTTACAATCAATTAATATACCTAAATCACGAACAACATTTGTCTTTTTTATGACATTATCATTAATATTGTATTCATTATAAATAGGGTGGATTTTTTTATTAAAAGATATTTGGTAACATTTTTCACGATTAAGGATTACATTATTAAGCTCGCACCAGGAGACTAGCCTATTAATATCATTTTGTAGTAAGTTTCCATCATTAGCGGTTTTTATTTCTTTATACAATTTTAAATCATCTGCAAAGAGAAGTACATCACTGTTCTGGAAACAATTTACTACATCATTTATAAAAATGTTGAATAGGGTTGGCCCCAAGTGTGAGCCCTGTGGCACACCTGAATATGCTATAAATGCCTCAGATTGAAATCCATTTATTACAACCTTTAGCTTTCTGTTGTGTAAGTAAGAAAACAACCATTTTAAAAAGGAGCTGTGGAATCCATAACATTCAAGCTTTTTTATTAGTATGGAATGATTCACTACGTCATACGCTTTAGAGAAGTCTGTATAAATTGCATCAACTTGAAGGTTATTGTCCACAGACACACATAAATTATCAATATATTCACAAAGATTTGACGTAGTGGACCTTCCTCTCAAAAATCCATGCTGCCTATCCGTTAGTATTGATTTCATGTGCCAATTTATAATTGGACAGATAATAGCCTCAAATACCTTTGGGAACACGGATAGTATTGATATGGGCCTGTATTTTGTTATATCGGTCCTATCTCCGCTTTTAAAAACAGGCACAACTCTAGCCTCCTTCCAAGCGCTTGGAAAAAAACCCTCTTTCAAGGAAACATTATATATGATACTTAAAGGGCGCGCTAGGGCTGCTGCACATTTCTTAGCAAAGAATGGCGGTATATTGTCGGGACCAGCGCTTTTATTGCTGTCAAGTTTCTTAAGCTTTGATTCTACTTCCTCTACACTTATATGTATATGAGATAAAGTTTGATTAATATCAACGCATTCAATGTTAGGAATCTCATTTTTTTTGCCTACAGGATAATCTGTGTATATACTTGAAAAATGTTTTGCGAAGCTATTACATATATCTGTACCATTGGAAAATTTTTGTGCATTTAATGTCATATAAGAAGGATATTCACTTTTGTTATTTCTAATCTCTTTTAAATATGACCAAAAATATTTTGGATTACTAATTATATTTTCTTCTACATTTTTAATGTGATTTTTATAGCATGAGTGTATTAGGGTTTCACATCTTTTACGCAGTAATTTAAACGATATTTCATCAAGAGGGTTTTTATACTTATTATATAAGTTTCTGTATTTATTTTTTTCTTTTAATCTTTTTATTAAGTCTTTTGAAAACCAATGCGGGTATTTACTATTTCCTTTCTTATATTTCCTAATATGCCGACCTATAATCTCGTGGAGCTTACAATAAAAGACTTTTAGCATTTCATCAACATCACCACATGTAATAAAAATTTCATTCCAAGATATTTTTTCTATCTCCTCGATAATAACACTGTAATCTGCATTATAAAAATTCATTCTTTCGTTTATGTTTGTTTCTAGGTGTGAAACTGGAGTAAAATTTATACTGATTTCTAGGGGTGGGTGATGTCTGTCTATATGGCTCAAGGGATAAGGGCTTTCTTTCACTTCGTTGATTATAAATGTACTTTCTTTATTACTTAATATTAGGTCAAGAATTTTGTTAAAAGGATTTCGGACTTGATTAAACTGGTAAAGACGATTTTCAGCTATGAAATCTATAAAATATTCGTTCATCTTGCCACTATTACTAACAGGAATAAGATATTTTTGACTAGTTTGTTTAGTCCACATTATATTTGATAAATTAAAATCTCCTATTAATATTGTATTAGTTTGCTCAACTGATACACAGGAAACATTATCGCAAAAGCTTTTAAGACACTCATAATTTAATGGTGACGGCAAGTAAACACCGCAAATCGATAGAGTAAAATCTGGGTTACCTGCTTTAAAATCAATGTTAATCCACATATCCTCGTAGTTGCTTTCCCATTTCATAACTCTATAACTTTTAAGCTTTTTTGTAACTGCAATAAGTACGCCACCACCGTCATGTTTGGTACGCAAAGTAGAAGTTTCTCTGTCTCGTCGAAAAACCACGTATCGTTTATCTATAATTTCGTTATTTAATATACCTTCACATAACCAAGTTTCAGTTAACACAATAATGTCAAATTCCGAATTTAAAATAGCACTATATACCTCATGAGTTTTGGTTTTAAGACCTCTAATGTTTTGATAAAAGACGCTTATACAGTTCATCAACTAAACGAAAGTGTAACTGAGTTAAAAAATATATTATATATATTAAATTTTTAAACAAAAAAATGAAAAAAAAAAAAATTTAATAAATGGTATGGTTTTAAGAAATTTCGTTAAGGAACTCTAAATTCTTAACAAGTATTACATCACTGGACGGCGCTTTTCTTAAGTAGATGTTACCATTCCGCGACCAGACGAATTGATATGATTTCTCTTTGGCAAATCGACGAGCAGCTGCGTGTAATGCCTTGGCTTCCGGGGTAAGATGTTCACATACGAAGACGGGCATTTTTTCACCTGCTATTCCCAAATGTGAAGAGTTCAGCTTATCAGACGGATGGCTTTTATTATAATTTATTATATTAGCTAAGAATTTATCTCTCAATAGGGGTGTTGCGAACTTCGCCAAAACAGTTCGTGGACGATTGTTCTCCTTATTCCACTTCGCAATCCGGGTGCATTTAACAATATGACCATCTTCCACATAGCTACCTATAGTTTTTCCTATTTGATGTAAAGTGTTGACTAAGTTTTCACCACGGTATTCAGGTATGCAATGAAATTCTAAATTATTTGCTCTTGTTTCTTTTTCCATAATAGTCAATCTGGAATTTATATTTATTTGATTTTGGCGAAGCTTAGAATTTTCATTTTTAAGGGACGATATTTCCTGCATTGCTTCTTCTAATTTTTTTTGTTGCTTATCGTACATAGATTGTAATATATCCATTTTATTTTTAATTTCCTGTATTCCACTTACTTCCAGCCTAATAGCTTTGAGGTCTGGGCTCACAGAATTCTCTAATATATTACTTATTTCGTCACGTATCAAGGATATTATGGTATGATTTACAGGTGTCTGCGTTTGTGTAGGAGAAGAATATATTTCATCATTTTTTGTATTTGGAGAGGCCATCAAGCTTTCAGTTTGGTTACGGCTCTGGCAAAATGAACATTTAAATGACTTCACGCTTAGGGATGTCTTCTTAAAAGACGTACTGGTAAAACCAACGCATTGATAGTGAAACAATGCCGGACAGGCTGTGCATTTAATCTTATCTTTTTGAAGTAGGGTCGTATTACATGAATTGCAAGACATGTTTACTTGTACATAAAAGTTATAATTATATAACTTTCAATGTTGAAAATTAATCGGATATACTTGTTTAATTTGTATTCAATATAAATTTAATAGTGGGTATATTCGCTTACTTCTCAGCCCATCCAACGCGCTTTGCAATATACAGCTGCTATGGTCGCGCAAAAAAGGTCTTAAGCGCCGTGCATTTGAAGGCGCTTTCGCGTTCATGTCAACACAGCTAGACAACACTTATTAAATTCTTGGAGAAAATATTTTCGCACAATATCTATAATTGTTATGATTTATAACTTCACTATTTTATTGCACTAAATATTTAAAATCCAAGGCTTAACTTTAAACACTTTCTTTTAGCTAATTTAACTCTTATTTTCCGACAACTTTATTTTTAATTTAGACTGAGCTAACAGCGCGTGCGTTACGTTGCATTGTTCACGACATTAGTCTGAACAATGCAACGTAACGCACGCACTGAAAAATTGTTGTTATATATCGTACACAAATTGATATTACGTAGGATAATACACAGGTGGCGACACTACGTAATCGTCTGCGTGTGTGCTATGCACACAGCAGGTATCGGGCCTCGGGGCACGCCCCCTTTGCCCGGGATCTCCTCGCGGTGCATTACTATGCACCGGTCGTGGGAGCCGTTACGGCGTTGTAGGTATGAAACAGCGACTCGGGTTTGATTCCCCGGTCGCTGTAATCAGATTGGTAAATCTTCATCTTCATGAAATAATTTTTTCAGGAGTCGGGTAATATGGCCCGCTCCTGAAAAAGTGGTATAGTAAGGTCTGTTTTCCTGAAAGGCGCCTAATTCGGCCTAGCCTGAAAAAGACGCCTTGTTCGGTTTAAGGTGTTCTTGTCTTGTCCGGTTAAAGTGGCCGGGCGGCTAATGCGGCCCGGCGTCTTGGTTGGCCTGTCTGCGACATTGAGGGTTGTTACTCGACTCTCTAATCTCTATAGAGAGGAGTTCTCTTGGCAGAGGTCGCCCGTCCGGAGGCCGAGCATGTAAAGGTGCTAGGTTCTGAAGGTGTTCGTGTGGCCCGTTATCTGCGCGGTCGAACATACCGCGCGCTAATCGGGCCACAAATTTCTCTACTGTCTCCATCTTTAGGTTGGCCGCGATGACGTCATTCCGGACGTAGCGACCTGCACCGACGATGGTCCTTAGTGTCAGGTTCTGCTGGACCTGTAGTCGCCGCTTCTGATGATCGCTCAGGAGCGCGTACCAGGCCGGCGCAGCGTGAGTAAATCTTGATCTAATATATGTTTTGTAAATTTTAAGTTTGGTTTTAATTGGCAATTTTGAAGTTAGGACCGGACGCAGCGCCGCCCGCGCACATCTGGCGTTACGGACGGCGACATCGACGTGCGCGGTCATGCGCAGCATCCGGTCAATCCGGCATCCCAGGTACGTTACCGTCTTCTGGTACTCGATCTCCTGGCCCCTGAGCGTCAGTGGTGGTGGAAAATTCCTATAACGGCGAGTGAGCAGAGCGGTCGTCTTGCCAACATTGACGGCCATCCTCCACTCATCAAGCCATGGTGGTAGCAGGTCCAGCAGGCGCTGCATCCTGGCAGTGGCTATGTGGGCTCTTCTAGACGATGTGAAGTAGGCACTATCGTCCGCGTATAGCGCTAATTCAACATCGTCTTCCCATTCGCGCAGGTGGTCTGCCAGGGTAGGGATGTCATTGGTGTAAGCCGCGTACAGGATCGGCGAGAGACAGCTGCCCTGTGGTACGCCGGCTCTGATTGGTCTCGCTGCGGACTCGGCGTCCTCTACACAGACGTAGAACTTCCTATCTTTAAGGAATGACGCCACTAGCCGCAACATAGCAGGAGGGGTACTTGTTTGTGTATCTAATTTATATAGTAATCCAGAGTGCCACACTCTGTCGAACGCCTTCTCTATGTCGAGAAAGACGCCCAACGATGTGCGGCCGCGGTTGTACTCGGCCGCCAAATAGTGCAGCACCCTGGTCAGCTGTGTTGCTGTAGAGTGGCCCCTCCTGAATCCGTGCTGTTCCGCCCGAAGATGTACGCACGGGCGGAAGCTTCTCAGCAGCAATCTTTCGAACAGTTTAGCTAGGTGCGGTAGCAGCGTGATCGGCCTATAACTGGCTGCTCTACGTCTGTCCTTCCCGGGTTTTGGCAGAACGATTACTTTGCCGATTTTCCAGTCCTCCGGGAAGTGGGATGTCCGCAGTATACCGTTGTAGAGTCGACCTAACTCTACAAGTGCTCTATGGGGCAGCTGTCGAAGTGCTGCGTTGGTTATCCCGTCGTGCCCCGGCGCCTTCCTGGGTTGCAGGCGGGCTACTGTCCTCCGCAATAGGGCGGGGGATATAAACCACTCTCCTGCAAGCGGTGGCGCGGGCTTCGACAGGAACTCCTGTACGCGGCTCTCCTTCAGGGTATGTAGTTCCATGAACTCCGCACTTGCTGGGTTCGGCATAAATTGCTCCTCGAAGTGCTCTGCTAGGATATCCGCTCTACCTTTGGCCTCGTAACAACGTTCGCCCGCATTGTTGGTCAGCGGGCAAACGGGGGGTCTGGTCTTAGTTAACTGCCGGTTCAGTTTGTAGAGCGACGCATCTTCCTCCTCTGCTTGCGATATGCGTCGCTCCCAGGCCTCTCCACGGTGGGCCCGGACTGCAACCGACAGTTCATCCGATAAGTTGTTCAATTGAGTTTTCAATCTTGGACAGCGAGTACGCGCCCAGAGTTTCCTGAGTGCTCTTTTGCGTTTGAGCTGCACGCATATCTCTCGCGGCAGCTCCTCCCGTCTTCCTGTGGTCGGGACGATCGTAGAGGCCGCGTGTAGAGCCTCTTTGATCGTCTTTGTTATTCTTGTTGCAGCGGCCTCTACGTCGTCCGCTGTGTTAATAGGGGTGAAAATTGGAGGTCTCTCCGTTAGATATTTTTGGTAGAGCCTCCAATTGATCTTTCTCTTAATAGCTCCGGGCGGCGTAGTCACTGCCCTGAGGCCAATGGTAATGAGAATCGGGAGGTGCTGAGACATCAGGTCGTACAGCACCTCTACCACTACCGGGTAGTTGACGTTCCTAGAGAGCACAATGTCCAATACATCCGGACATCTTCGGTGGTCTGTAGGAATGTGTGTAGGTTCTTCGGGACCTAAAACGTCATAGCCGTGTCTTTCGGCGTCATCATAGAGTTCACGACCCGGCGGAGTGATCACTCTGGAGCCCCACGCCGGGTGTTTCGCGTTTAGGTCCCCCGCGACGATGGTTGGTGTATCGCCTTCCATTACCGTCCGGATGTCTGAGGAGCAGAATGGAGTCCCTGGCGGGCGGTATGCTGCGTAGATCCTTAGTTCCTCGCCCGCCGCCTCCATTTTTATGCCGATAGAGCGCATCGTTTCAAATGGTGGTAAGTCCAGTTCTTGATGGACGATGTCTCTCCTCACCAGAACCACCGTGCCTCTGTAGGCGGTCCCTCGAGGATTGACCTCGTCCCTTCTGTATATAAAGTAGTTTGGCAGCTTGAGATGCGTGTTCGGATTTAGTTTGGTCTCTCCCAGCAATATCACCTGTATATCCTGCTGCTGGGCGACAGTGCGGAGTTCATGGATCCTCTGTTGTATCCCGTCTGGATTCCAATATAATAGGCGCAGGTTACTCGCCTCTGTAATGCCGAGCAAGTAGTTGCGCCAACGCTCTCATAATCGCAGTAATTGGATCCGTCCCGGCTCTTATGTCGGCCAGGACTTGCGCGCCGACCTCAATGGCTATGCCAACCAATCTGAGGATGGCATCTGTATAGCCAGGGCCGGCTGGTGGTATTCCTTGTGAGGTTGGCTCTTGTCTCGGCTGGTTTTGGGTTATTCTTCGTACGGTAGAGCGTGCTCTAGTTGTAGAGCGGGCTCTATGTTCCGGTAGAGCCCTTTCTGGTGCTCTACCTACGGTAATCTTGGTGTCCTTGGCGGTAACCTGCGCCTGGGAGGCTATCGTGATCGCTGGGGTGGGGGTAGAGGTGACGGCTTGAGGAGGCTGTGTTTGGTTTTTCTTCTTTCTCCCCCGCTTTTTCTTCTTAGGTACCAGACGCTCAGTAGCATCATTTGCGGGGGGCTGGAGAGTCGCTCCGGTGGTTGCTCTTTGTTGTGGTGGCTCTACGATTTCCATCGGTTGTTGTGGCTGCTGAGGGGGGGGTGGTGGGGGGGCTGTTTGCCTTCCCCCCTTCCCCCTTATGGTTGTCCACCCCTCTTCGTTGACTTGGACGATCTTCTGGCGACTCTCCGGAATCTGCCTCGGCGCTTCCGGAAGCAAGCCCGGAAGTGTGATACCTTGCTTCCGTGCGATCCTCCTCAATACCGGACATCGTCTATCATTGGCCGTATGATCTTTGGCGCAATTTGCGCATGTAGGTTCTTCATCCCTACCCCTCGGGCATTGGTTTGCAGCGTGTTCCCCCGCGCAACGGACGCATTTTATCGGACGAAAACAGTTGTAGGAGGCGTGTCCGAAAGCCTGGCAGCGGTGACACTGTGCTGGTCCCACTCGTCCCTGCCATGCTTCTATCACGACTCCTTTCATAAAAAGTAGCTCGTTAACGTTGTAGAGATCCTTGAGCCTTTCTTGGCTTAAATGGTCCAGTTGCGCGAAGTATAGGCAACCCGGTCTTCCTCTGCGCGGCGGGATTGCCTTTACATAGCGAATTGGAAAGCCCAATGCCTTGATAGCCTCTCCTATGGCTCCCGTATCCGTGTCTACTGGCAGCCCCCTAATGCCCACTTTCGTGGGCTTCTCTTCTTCCGGGGTGTAGCAGTACCAGGACATGGCTGGTATTTCTTTGGATAAATCAATGAGGTA